CTGTCTGTCTGTCTGTCTGTCTGTCTGTCTATCTATCTATCTATCTCAAGCTCGAGCTTTTTAAGAGAACTAGGAGATGTTAAATGGTTTAACATTAAAACTCTCAGCCTCAATTCTGCAATTACTCTGAGGGCCTGCGTATGAAGCCCTCTGGAGAGCAATGGCATAAAGCCTGGGAGACCATAACAAAGACCTGAAGGCATGGGACAGGATCCCTCTGCCTAGCACTGAGAACAGACTAGGGGGTAAGAGAGGAAACAGACTAGGAGTTAGGTGTAACCACATGAGTGTTAATGTTCATTAAGGGCTTTGGGAGCAAAGCGGTAGGAAAGTCTACACACATTCTGAAGATAGAGCCAAGAAATGCATGGTATGCACAAAGACAAGAAATAAGAAAACAGAGAAGCCATTAAATGATACAAAGAAGCCTAAGGAAAATAGTCAAGTTTGAGATGGCTACCAGATTTCCAAGTTAATGCCGACTTGGAATCTGAATTCAAACTCCAGATTTAAAACTTTCAGACAAGAAATAAAATCTGTAAACTATAGCATGTATATGGTATTTAAAATTATGGAAATGGATGAAATAAAAAAGACAGTAAATATGGAAAAGAGATTCAAGACCAGAATCCTGGATACTTCAACAAGAACAGTCAGGGAAACATGGAAAAATCAGTGTAAAACCATCTACTTGGAGAATGGTCTGTGAGCTAAGAACAGGAGGGTGTGCTGTTCAGAAGGACAGTAAGGAAGGATCCCAGGTAGACCAACCCTCTGCAGATGCTCCTCACTAGGCAAGCAGTCAGGTAAGAATTTAAAATGTACCTTTAGTGGGACACGGCCATGCACACCTTTAATCCTATCACTTCAAAGACAGAGACAGGTGGATCTCTGGGAGTTTGAGGTCACCTGGTCTATACAGTGAGACTCTACCTCAAAAAAATAAAAACAGACTTTTGGTTTTTGATTTAACAAGAGAGAGGTTAGAAGTGGCTTTGACAAGAAAAAAGAATCAGTGAGAGCATAGGAAAAGAAGAAAAGGAACATAAGGAACTTCTGCAAATCCTTTAAAGGGCAAACATCTAACAGAGGGTAGAAAAGCATAACGAAGCACACAGCAATTCGGATGTCAGGTGCAGATGGAGACTTCCTATTTCTGCACATCCACCCATTGCATGAATTATCAGACTGTAATTCTTCACTGTCTGCAGAGGATGTGAAATGTTCTGTTTTTAAAATTCTGAGGCTAGTGACATGGTTTAATGGGTAAGGCCCTGGCTGCCAAGCCTGATGATTCAAGTTTGAGTTAGGAGAGAATGCACTGGCACAAGCTGTCTTCTGACCTCCACAATACAAGCACATACTTGCCTCCCTGATACACACACTAAATGTAAAACAAAACTAATTATATTTTCCTAATTCAATTTACTTTTGCTTTATTGGTCTTGAATTGGAGCATCCTTTTTCATCTATAAACTGTGCGTAATGTTTGTTAGTATGTATTTTATGAAAAAGATGATATATGACAACTCATAGATGTGAATAGTGAATTGTTATATGCATATGAATATATGAATTTATTACATATGAAATCCCAAACTATGGGTATTTGAAATATTTAATGCTGTTTTGGTGTTTTGTTTTACTTTTAAGCTAAAGAGCTAGCTGGTTAACTCATTGTTGAAAACTTGCCTAGCATGCCACAAAGCCCAGGGTTCAATCCTAGGAACTACACACACACACACACACACGCACGCACGCACGCACGCACGCACGCACGCACGCACGCACGCACGCAAATAAGTAAGTTAAGTATAAAGCTACCCACCTGCAAAACTGCCTGTGTACCAGCTTGAATATTTTGTTCTGTGGCTTCTTCAGAGGCATGAAAAGCATCTTGGTAGGAACCATTTTTGGTCCAACTAGAATTTCGAACATGCTCAGAAATATTGGTCCCATTTTCCTGAAGCAAAATATCAAGATTTTTAATATTTCATCAATGAGAATGCTACAAGTCAGTAACATAAAAGGTGTATGAAATTATTAGATTCCACTATTAAACTCTTTCTTTACTTCAAAATAGATTGTTTTAGGAGCCTGGAGAGATGATTCAGTGATGAAAAGCACTGGCTGCTCTTGCTGAGGACCTGAGTTCAGTTCCTGGCACTCACACCAGCAGGCTCACAACTGTCTGCAACTCCAGCTCCACAGCACTCTGATGCCCCTGAAAGCACCCGCACTCATGTGCACATGCCCACATGCAGACACACAGACCTACATATAACTAAAAATAATAAAAACAAATCAAAGAGAAAAAAGCTATTTTAATTGATCATACAAGTAATATGTATTCACTGTAAATAATTCTAACAGGAAAAAATTATGGATAATGACTAGCTAGAGTTAATATCACATCACACATGGAGTCATTTGTCTATGTATATTCTCACATATTCAACAATCGTATCATACTATTCACAGCTTTGTAAAAGATTAACTCTGTTCTATATTAATCTACATAACTTGAGTACAGATTTTTAAGAACTGCAAATTCTTATAACTGTAATTAAAAACAAACAAACAAACAAACAAACAAAAAACTGCTTCAAACAACTACTACTGAAGCTTTCTGCCTGAGTTTTGGTGCTGTTAGGTAGTACAGGTTACAAGTTCCCTCAGATAAAAGCCTGCTTTGTGGTGCTGTAGGTTGTGTGTGTGTGTGTGTGTGTGTGTGTGTGTGTCTGCGTGTCTGTGTTTTCACTGTTGTTGAGTTGGAGTCTCATTATGTAGCTCTTGACTGTCCTGGAACTATGTAGATCAGACTGGCCTCAAACTCACAGAGATCCATCTGTCTTAGCCTCCGAAGTGATGGAATTAAAAGTATGCACGACTTTGTCTGGCCTCTGTTTTTAATTCTGTATATAGTTTATTCTACTATTCCTATATAAATGATGCAGATTATGTTCCATGTACATAGACACAATATAACTAAAAGGGTTGTAGAAAAATATATCATTTAGACTGATAGGTGTATTTTCTACCATTAACTGAAATATTTGATATTTCTTACTAATACCTAATAGTACTATGAATTCTCTTTTACAAATTATATGATTAATTTTATATACTTTGCTGGGGCATAGTGGTTTATATTTGTAACCCCAGTACTTGGGAAGTGGAGACAGGATGATCATGAGTTTAAAATTATCCTAGGTTATATAGTGAGACTGATGCCAGTCTGGAATACATGAGACCCTGTCTCAAAACAATTGCATTTGTCATTTTTTCATTTATTTACTTAATTTGTAGCAGTTGGAGAGTGAACCCAAGGTCTCATACATGCTAGCCATGCTTCTACCACTATCTAATATTACTTAAACGTTTATTTCTTCTTATACAGAGCACCATTCAAAACACTACGCCAGGATTGACAGAGGCCAGCCTAGGCTCTCAAGGCAGATTCTGCATTTCCCACCCTTATAAATTCCCTCTCACAATTAATCCATGTAGAACTGCCCTATTCTTTACTGTGTCTTTATCCTAATTAAACTCCATTGATGAGGTTAAATTAACCACTAAAATAAAGAAACACTATCCAACTGCTCCCCTCCTAATTCAAAAAACCTTGAACTATAGAAAAGCAAATCAGATAAAAAGTATTTTTTGTTTTCTTGTTTTTTGTTTTGTTTTGTTTTTCAAGACAGGGTTTCTCTGAGTAGCCCTGATTGTCCTGGAACTTGCTTTGTAGACCAGGTTGGCCTCGAACTCACAGAGATTCGCCTGCCTCTGTCTCCTGAGTGCTGGGATTAAAGGCATGCACTACCACTGTCTAGCCTGATAGTCTTTTAAACTCCTAATTTCATCTCAGTTTCTAGTTCCTAGAGAATCTGACTCACAACAATTGTTGAACAACTAAAAGACAAAAATTTGCTTAGGTCTAAGGAATGAATGGAATCAGTGACCCAGTGCTACCTCTGTTCCCTTTTCTTTCTGCTCTGTGAATAAATTCTAGTTGTTGTTGTTGTTTTTTTTTAATCACCAACAATATGTCAGAAAAATTTTGAATTCTGCAGTTAGCTCTAATACAAAATAGTCTAGAGAAGAATTCAAAACATTCCAGTTTGTGGTGAGTAGCCATTCACAGCATAAGCAGACTTTATTTTGAGAAAAGATGGAACAATGATTTGATAATCATCACACACAAAGTATGTCCTTTAACATCAATTTTGATTTGGCACATGTTTAAAATACAGCAGTGTCTATCTCTGACACACACCCCAGCCCCTTCTTAACCACAGGTTGAATAATTGAATGTGGGATAAATGAACGATTTAGCAACAGTGAAAGGTTTCTGAATGTACAAGAGAAAATTACAATCAAATGCACAATGAATCTGATCTGTTCCAGGCACACTGGCCTGTGCTGCATTTCATGACTGGACCACAGTCCTGGCTCTGAATATACAAATATACACAATCTATACTGAGCATGTCTTCCCACCACAAACATCAATGAATACCCATCAGATTCAGGACTACAATGTGCTATGAAATGCAGTGCTTTTAACTATACTACATGCAGTTTCCTGTCTTCAGAAAATACAATGGCATAATTATGAAACAAGTAAAATATTTTCATATTGTCATTCTCCAGTATGGACATATCAAATTAGTATTTCTTTGGATTGGACAGTGTCAAAATACTTGATTTCTTTCTTTCTTTTCTTTTTTTTTCTTTTGTCTTCTCAAGACAGGGTTTCCTCTGTATTGGTTTGGAAGTTGTCCTGGAACTCACTCTGTAGACCAGGCTGGCCTCAAACTCATAGAGATCCATCTGTCTCTGACTCCCAAGTGCTGGGATTAAAGGCATGAGCCACCAACACCTGGCCAATGTTTGATTTCTTTTAAATTGCTGTTAAGCTGCTAACTTGAGTAGCAGTTTTAAAAACTGAATTTTAGCTTGACTTTAAGACAGAATTTCCAACAATTTCTAACATGGTCTTAGACATACTTCCAACATTTTGCACTACATATTTATACAAAGTGGCATAATTAACACTGATGATTATAAAATGAAAATATCAATTAACTATTAAACATGCTGTACATGATCCTGTCCTCCAATATCGAATACTCAGCTAAGTCTATTTCTTTACATATTTATTTCATTAGTGTGGAAATTTGCATTTGTCTCTAATAAATGGTAAAAATATACATATATATGTATATATATGAAACTTTGAAAATATTTTTTGGAAGGGAAGCTTTCTCTTTTTTTTAAGATTTTATTTATTTATTATGTATACAACATTCTGCTTCCATGTATATCTGCACACCAGAAGAGGGCACCAGATCTCATAACAGATGGTTGTGAGCCATCATGTAGTTGCTGGGAATTGAACTCAGGACCTCTGGAAAAGCAGTCAGTGCTCTTAACCTCTGAGCCATCTCTCCAGCCCGAAAATAAATTTCTTAATGATTTATTTTTAATGAATGATTCAAATATCTTTTTTTTTTTTGAGACTACACAGCATTAGTTGGCCTGGAACTTGCTATGTAGACGAGAGGGGCTAAAATTCACAGTGATCTGGCTGCCTTTGCCAACTGAATGCTGATATTAAAGGTGTAAGACACCTTACTTATTCCAGATACCTTTGTTATACAGTAATATACACAGGGTTATGTAAAAATTTATTGGGTAAAAAATTTGCCAGTGGAAAAAGTTTCAATGTTTTTATTCATGTTTTGCTTTTAAATTGTGACATCAAAATAAAAATAAAGTTTCGCCGGGAGGTGGTGTCACATGCCTTTAGTCCCAGCACTCAGGAGGCAGAGGCAGGGGGAGCCCTGTGGGGTTGAGAG